ATTGTATGAAGGCATTAAAGAGCCTTCTACTGCCCTCTGGTGTCAGCTTGCTTAATAAGAAAGGCACATGATGGGAACAAGCTCCTTAATGATGAATTTATGCTTGCTAATAAGAGTCCTCTTGACCTTGCCATGTAGAAAATGAAAATTATACAGTATTTCATTAAAAATTACTAAAGCACTTAAGATCATAGATCTCAGAGTAGAAGGGACTCCAATCTTCTCGTATTACAGATATGGAAACTAAGGCTTGAAAAGGCTATTATTTGTTCACACAGGTAGTAAACTTCCAGAAGTAGGATTTGAACCTAGGTCCTATGACTCCAGAACCAGTGCTTTTTCAATTATATTATACTGACTCCTGTACATTTCAATTGTACTACACAAAAATTGAAAGAGCCAATTGTTAAATTTTCAGTGGGCAAACACTACAAATCAGGGCTTGATTTAGTATTTTTGTGTACTGTCCAAACTTTAAAAAGTTGATGGAGAAAATTTTAATAGTATAGATTAAAGTTAAAAGTATGTCATGTATAAGTGTTTTCCTCCCCTCCTGAGAGCTGGTTGTTAAATATTTACCAGCATGGCCCTCCTTAAACAAAACCAATTTACCATTATTCACAAATAAAATTAATTTTCTATGTTATGTATGTCAATAACTAATTATTTGTGCCTTGCTTAGTATCTTCTTCCATCTTGCCAATATAATAAGACACACTCACCAGAAAAAAAAGTCACAATAGCAAAGGAAAACAATGCTTGAGCTAAATTTTGGCAGTAGCAGAAGTTCCAGGACTTTAGTCATTGTCAAGCTCATTTTGACGTTTGATTCTTTGTGTTTGAATGGACAGAATTCTTTCACATTCCCTAGAGTCTTCCCAAATCAAAGGAATTATCAAGAAATAAAATTGTTATGATATATAAAGACACTGAGTAACTCTTTTTAAAGAAATGATTCATAGTAGTAGTATAAAGTAAAGTTATAAACTCTGTTTGTATTATTGTTAAACAACTGTGTTGTGGAGTAAGTAATGACACAATGCCTGCCTTCCAGAAACTCAAGGTGTAACTTCAGAGCTGTATCTAGGAGAGAGTCACAAAGGTTTCATTTTTTAGCACCAACATTTAGAAGGTGCTGTCTCTGTAGTTCTCCAACAATACAGAACCAACAGAACTTTGAATTTAGTTAGCAAGAATCAGGAAGCTTCCAGATAGCATGTTTCTTTCTCTTTGGGACTCCATCCTGTTCCTCCTCATTTCCTGCAGCCTCACATTACACTGAGGTTTCCACTCATGGGAGGTGTGACCTAGCTTCTTCCTGTATCTTGATATTTTCTTAAACAGTTGACTTGATGGTATGCCACTGAAGTTGATCAGGTGTTTTGCCCCTTATTCCAGGCATAAAACTTGTTAGTTACAGCTCTGTACTAAGCTGACATCACCCTCGAGGTTTGTTTTAGCTCCTGCTACGATTCTGGTTTGGTTGGACCTGGGCAAATCCCAATAAATTTTTTCTTTCTTTCTTTCTTTCTTTCTTTCTTTCTTTCTTTCTTTCTTTCTTTCTTTCTTTCTTTCTTTCTTTCTTTCTTTCTTTCTTTCTTTCTTTCTTTCTTTCTTTCTTTCTCTCTTTCTTTCTTTCTCTCTTTCTCTCTTTCTCTCTTTCTCTCTTTCTCTCTTTCTCTCTTTCTCTCTTTCTCTCTTTCTCTCTTTCTCTCTTTCTCTCTTCTCTCTTCTCTTCTCTCTTTCTCTTTTCTCTCTTTCTCTCTTTCTCTCTTCTCTCTCTCTCTCTTTCTCTCTTCTCTCTCTCTCTCCTCTCTCTTCTCTCTCTCTTTTCTCTCTCTCTCTCTCTCTCTCTCTCTCTCTCTCTCTCTCTCTCTCTCTCTCTCTCCCTCTCTCTCTCTCTCTCTCCCTCTCCCTCTCTCCCTCTCTCCCTCTCTCCCTCCCTCCCTCCCTCCCTCTCTCTCTCTTTGGCTAGGCAATGGGGTTAAGTGACTTGCCCAGGGTCACACAGCTAGTGTTGTGTCTGAGGCCAGATTTGAATGCAGGTCCTCCTGAATCCAGGGCCGGTGCTCTATCCACTGCACCACCTACCTGCCCCCAATTATTTTTTTCTAAGACAGATCAATCTGTTTAGACACAGTCTAGCCTGTAGAATGATGAGGGAGAAGAACTATTAATTAAGTATTTATATTAACTATTACCAAGTAATGATTGGTGGAGAGTTGAATTATAAGGCAAGCCAAGTATTGCAGAATTGACACTTTCAAATTGTAGTGCTGGAGAAGAATTTTAAGAATCCCTTGGACAGCAAGGAGATCAAATTGGCCAATACTTAAAGAAATTAATTCAGACTATTCACTGGAAGGTCAAATACTGAAGCTTAAGTACTTTATTGACATAATGAGAAGACAGGACTCATTGGAAAAGACTTTGATGTTGGGAAAGATTGAAAGCAAAAAGAAAAGGGGATGGCAGAGGATGAGATGGGTAGACAATGTCATAGAAGCAACAAAAATGAGTTTGGACAGACTTTGAGAGATAATGGAGGATAGAAGAGCCTGACATTCTATGGTCCATGTGGTCACAAAGAGTCGGATATGACTAAACAACAAGAAAAATAATTGGTGAACAGAACTGGAACGAACACTTAGAAGGAAGAGAGAAGTTGTGATTAGAGTGCTAGACTTGGACTCAGAAAGACCTGATTTCAAATCTAGCCTCAGACACTTATTAGCTATGTGGCTCTGGCAAGTCACTTAACTTTTCTCAACTCTCAGTTTCTTTATCTGTAAAATGGGGATTATAATATCACCCATCTCCCATGGTTGTTGTGAGGATAAAGCAAAATATTTATAAAGCACTTTGCAAACATTAAAACACTATATAAATGCTAGCTGTCATCATCTGTTTTTATTATTATTGTTTGTTAAGTGGCTTGCAAACGTTAACAAGGGGTATGCTGGAGCCAGCTCTAACATACTTGAAAGTACCAACTGTTAAATTTTCAGTGTGAGTATTCACACCTTGGGAATTAGCAAACACTACAAATGAGGGCTTAATTTAGTATTTTTGGTTATTGTCCAGACTTTAAAAAGTGGTGGAGAAAACATTAATAATATAGATTAAAGTTATAAGTGTGTCATACATATATCCCTGCCCCCTAGGAGCTGGTTGTTAAACATTTACCATCACAACCCTGCTTAGTGTTAAATATAAATCCTAGCTAGTTATTACATCTCTTTTTGAGTCAACAGATGAAATATTTCTTCCTTTTCCTCACCTCATCCTTTTCCCCATGTTCTCATACAGTTGTCTGGCACACTGTAGGCACTTAATAAATGCTCTTTGACTTGATTTGTCTGGAAAACTTTGCTAAATTGATGTAGATATTATAAAGCTATACTATCTCATCTTTCCTACTATGAGACTGAAGCACTAAGTTCCACGCATGCTATGTCACTCTGAGTGTTGGGGAGAGAACTCCATTTAGCCTCTAGTTTTATGTTCCATCTACATGATAAAATAGGACTTGTGGTTAAACTCCTAGTTGCCTCATCACATTCTTGAGGCTAGTCTATTTTAGGCTGTTGGATCCAGGCTAGAGACAATTTGACTCAGTGTCTCTTTGTTCTTATTGCTGGGTTTCTGTGAAGTCCCTACTGATTTCAGACACTCTCCAGTCTGAAAAGTCTTAAAAGAGTGAGTTGGGTTCATGGGATGACATGCAGAGGTCTTGCAGAGGAGATCAAACACCAACTCCTCAAATTTTCATTTTAATTGAAGAAGACGTGATTAAAATTAGGAAAAATGAAGAAGTTTCTGCTTTCTGATAAAAATCCTGTTGATCTTGAATTATTAGTGAAAATTATCTCTCATTTAAACACCAACAAACTACTAAAGCACCAAATGAACAAAATGCCAAATTCTCATTCACACATTAAAATAATATCGAACAATCATACGTATCAAGGATTATACATTTAGAACTAGAAGGTACCTCAGAGGCTATATGGTCCAATCCTCTCATTTTAAGTGACATCTAGGGTGGCTAAGAGGCTTACCCATTGTCACAAAATCATCAGAGATAGGATTGAATCCAAATACTTTGGCTCTAAACTCAGTGCTCTTTCCACTGAACTCTTAATATTCACAAAAATTCTATAAAATAGGTACCTTTATTATCTTCATTTTGTAAATGAAGAAATAGACTCACTTGGGTTAAATGACTCAGCTAATAAATGTCTAGGGTGAGATTTTATTCTATCCACTATATCATGCTGCCTCTCTATAGTATGAATCCAATCCTGAAACAAGCCTGGCATTCGACAGTATAGATTTCAGACTGAGAAGGTTTCTTCATGGTAGGGGTAGGAAAGATACAAAGAAGGCTATTGCTATGATTCTTATTCCTTCTGAGAACCTGTAGGTCCCTTACAGGCTCAGCTCAAGTGCCATCTCCTACAAGAGTCTTTCCTAATTACCTCTATTGTTAGTGCCCTTCCTCCTGAAATTACTTTGCATTAAAAAAATTTACTTCTTTGCATGTATGTTATTTTCTCACTAGAGAATATAAGCTCTTTGAGGGTAGGGAATGTTTTATTTTTGACTTCATACCCACAGCACTTGAGCTAGTACCTCATCAGTCCTTAATAAATGCATGTTGAATACATCGAACTAGAACTCAGTATTCTTTTTTTTTTTTTGCATGTGTTGGGGGAGAAGGGCTCATGATCTATCTTTTTTTGCTTTGCCTCTCTTCAGTGCTTCTCCTTCCCAATGAGATAGGAGCACAGGGGACTGTGTCAATAAATACACTTCCAAGAGGAGGGAGAAGCATAACTGGAATAAAGTTACTGTGGGAGACTCTCATCAACTAATTCCTTTTTTTCCCCCATTGTCCTAAGATCTCCAAGCCTTCTGTTTCTCAGATGACCAAAATGCCAAGTTCTCATTCACACTTTAAAATAAAATTAACCATATGAACCAAGCCAAGTCCTTACCTGACCCGAGGAGTTGGATTGCCCATGACTCGGCATTCCAAGTAAACTCTGCTCCCTTCAGCTACTTCTTGACTTCTCAATTTCTGTGTGAATCTAGGGGCAGCTGGGAGATTCATGGGATCACAAAGTGGTTTATGTAAGATGCCATTGCCAGACTGAGCAATAGCTTGGCTCTTCTGGCAGTAGTCATTGATGTGGTTAGCTGCTGATAATTTAACTTCTGTCTCCATTTCTGGGTGGTCTTCAGTCGGGCTCTGACTGGCTGAAGTGTTTAAGGTTGATGGCTGATTCTTTGGAGACAGGTACCCACTATCTGGGGATAAGGACTCTCCATTTAGATTTAGATTTCTTGGCTTTGCTGCCTCTCTAAATATGGAAGAGAGCTCTTCAATCAGATTAGCTGCCTTGTCACGGAGTTGGCTCTGGGACCCAAGGGCTCCCTGATATACCGATTTGGACCTAGCACTTGAGGTTACTGCCTTTGGACCACGTCTCTCAGTATTCCGGAGGCTCCGAATGTAGCTAGGACTGGCAGCCAGCAAAGGTGAGCCAGTGGGTTTTCTCTTGGAAGTAGGTGTAGATATGCTCCTGTTTTGGAGGACTAGGGATTCTTGTTCTGGTAAAGTCTGATTTCGAGTTGGTCTGTTTTCCTGAGGCATTGCTGAAGTCATCTGCTCATCCAGTTTGGTCTCTTTGTGAGTTTTTTCATAGAGGCTTGATGGAGAGGTTTTTAAAATGTGAGTGATCTCCTTTTCTGAGTCAAAATCTTCTGATTCAGAGTTAGCTATAGCTTCCCTAGCCAGGTCAAGACTCTTGTTTATCTCCTCCTGGCTGAGAAAGGCAGACAGCTCAGGGAAGAACTCAGCATTCTTGGTGTCTTCCTGAACATCTGATAGGGAATCATAGAAAGATTCATGGGAAGATGTCTCTGACATTTTTAGAATAGCTCTAGTGCAATGTGTTGTCTACAATGTAAGCCCCTTTCGGGGGGAGGGGAGAAAGGGGAAGTTCAGAGATATTGGCAATTCACGGCTTCGTTCTTGCAGGCTGGAAGATAACATAATCTTTGTTAAAAATGTTACAGTAAAATAAATACTTTCTTCATTTTATCACGGAATGATTGCTCTTTAGCTACATACCACTGGGCACTAAGTTGGGAAACACATCAGAGTGAGATAAGGAATGTTCAATGCTCGCTTTTTTTTTTTAAAGAATGTTTTTATTTTTTCTTCAATTACATGTAAAAAACAATTTTTGACATTCATTTAAAAATAATTTTTGAGCTTAGATCCCTCCTTCTCTCCCTTCTGCCTTCCTTGAGAAGGCAAACACTCTGATGTAGATTATACATATGCAGTCTTAATGTTCACCACTTACCACTGTTTTTGATTTAGGATGTATGTGGCTGATGGCAATCCAAGAGTCAAACCTAGCTGGTTCTGAAGAGATTGGGAAGAAGATTTCCATAAAGGAAACACTCCAGTAGAATAGAACATTTAATGTTTCCTTTTCTTTGCTCATTAACTGGAATAAGTACCACTCCTTAAAATGCTACCTGGCTGCTAAATGAAGAGCACTCTGTCTAATATCAGGTTGCCAGAGTCCTATTGATTGATTTAGTGGTGTTACATTCCTCATCTGAGCCCAAACCACAAACTGTACTACAGTCATCCCAATTCTCACCTTCTTTTGGGGTCCCATATAGTTTTTCTATCTGACATTTCTTTTTGCTCTACATTTTGATGATTAGCAAACAGAGCTTCCATTTGATAATGATTATTGCTATTAAAAATGGATGGATGTCTTGGGAGGCAAGGAGCTCTCTCTTACTGGTGATCAGATGCTCATTTGTCAGGAATGTTGGAGAACGAATCCTTGTTCTGGTTTAGATTAGAGTACATGGCCTTTCAGGTCCCTTCCAACTCTGAGGTTCTGTGATTAAGAGAATGCCCCTATATAGTCTACTCATCTGTGGCTGCTTGAGATATCTAGTTCCTTTACTAAGTGCATTGAATGCATGAATATGTGTTATTTTAAACTCTCACAAATGATTGGATAGCAATTTGAAAATGAGTGATAATTGAGAGAGTTCTCTACAAGTTCTCTGACCTATGGATGCCTTTACTGCCCTAAACAGGTATTTGCGAGGCTTAAAGACTCAGAGAAAGAAGAAAATCCAAATGATAAGCACGCTTAAAGCTGAAGAGATAAGAATATATGCAATGCAATTTCAACGAAATATGTTTATTTATCCATTGTTAGAAAAATAGGATACATTCAAGAAGCAAAATAAGCATTTTTAGCAATCACATGCTATGTTCAGAACACTTGTGTTAGGCACTGGTAGAGATAAAAAATTCACGTAACGAATCAGCAAAAATTATTAAGCACCTACAACGTATGAGATGTTATGCTTGGTGCTAGAGGTACAAAGATAAAAATGGAACAGACCTTTCTCTCAAGGGACTTGAATTCTATTGGGGAAGAAATATAAGTAGATAAGTATATATTATTTACAAAACCAACACAGGGTCCTGGGGGAACAGGGCTACAAGTAGCTAAGAGGATAAGAAAGGCACCATATAAAAGGTGACATGAGCTGAGTTTTTAATGAAACTGGGGATTCAAAAATGTAGTAGTGAAGAAGGAATGAATTCCAGGCATGGCTTACAACCAGGGCAAAGTCAGAGAGCTCAAGGGATAAAGTGTAATGTGTTAGAAACAGCAAGAAAGCTGCTGGGTTGGGCAAAAGTGATAGGGAGTCACATGCAATAAGTCTGGGCTGGGAATTTGTAGACAGGTTGTGAAGGCTTAATAATGCCATACAGAGGAGTTTAAATTTGATTCTAGAAGGAATAGGGAATCCTGGAGTTTTCTTTTTGGAAAATTTACATGACCAGACCCATGCTCTAGAAAAATCATTTTAAGATATTCAAATGGAGGATGGGCTGTAGAGGGGAAGATACTTGAGTCATGGAGACAAATTAGGAGGGTTCTTAAAAATAATCTTAAAGAAAATGGATGAAGGCCTGAATAATGGTGGTAATTGCTTTAATAGAGAGAAGGGGATGGATGTAGGGAATATTGTGGAGATAGAAACGATACAATTTGGGAACTGATAGGATATGTGAAGTGAGTGAGAATGATGAATCTAAGATACCACTGAGAATATGAACTCGTGAATAAGAATGGTGGTGGTAGCCTCAACAGAAATATGGAGGTTCAGAAAAGGGACAGATTATTGAGGAAAGATGATGAGTTCTGTTTTGGACATACTGAGTTTGACACATCTATTGACATGGCCTTTCCTATGTTAATAAATATGTCAAGTCAACAAATATTTAATAAGTGTTTACTATATGCCAGGCACTATTGATGATGTGGTATTAGAGCTCAGCAGAGACTAGGGTTAGGTATATAGACCTGAGAGGCATCTGAATAGAAATGATAATGAAATCTACTGGATTAGGTGGCTAGTTAGTACTGCGGGTAGAATGCTGGGCCTGGATTCAGGAAGACCTGAATTCAAGTCTGACCTCAGGTATTTCCTAGCTGTATGAACCTGAGCAAGTCACTTAACCTCTGTTTGCCTCAGTTTCCTTGGCTGTAAATTGAGAATGATAATAATAGCACCTACTTTCTAGGATTGCTGTGAAGATCAAATGAAATAATAATTATGAAGTGTTTAGCACAGTGTCTGACATATAGTAAGAATTATTTAAATGTTAGTTATTATGACATTTTAAGAGTTTGAGAGACTTACTTCTGGGTAATTAATCATTTTATTAATATTAATAATTATTAATAATAAAAGGAATGTTTATTTGGCTGTCTCTCTCTTGCACCAAAGATGACTCATGGTGGTGGGCTCATAGTTTATATGCCTTTGGAAGGGTGGGTGTTCCTGAAGGTGGTAATCAACTTTGATTGGTTAACAATTAATAAGAAAGAATGAATATTACAACGAGAGGTGGACCTATTCAAATGAGGGATGTAACTTTGATTATATCATTTACTTCCAAATCACACCCAGCCTGGGGAAAGCTTGACAAAGAATCTATATCTTCTACCTAAGCCTGAGCAGAAGACAATGGTCTGGTAGTTTCACCTTAAATTAAATTCCTTTGTAAGGTTAGGTGGGATAGCAATGTTTTAATTGAGGAGAATGTTAATCCTATCTATTACAGTTCTGTCCTTCAGAGGAGGATCTGCAAAATGAGGACTTTAGAAAAAAGGAGAATTTGCATATCACCAAATGATTGGTTATTAATTATAATTTCTCTCATTGTTATTATTTTTTTATTGGGGCCTCTGAGGTCAACAAGAGAGAAAAGAACCTAGGGCAGAGTGTTGGGTTACACCTGTTGTTAGGGAGCCAGATATGGATGACAATCCAGAAAAGGAGATAAGACACAGTCTCTCCCCTTAAGGAATATAGTAAAGGGATTAGAAGCCAATGAATATACTTATAATACAGAATATGACAGGATAAATACATCTGAAGGTTATGTGAAGCTCAAGGAGGTGGCATTTGATTGAGGCTATAAAGAATAGGTGGCAATTTGACAAATGGAGAGAGGGGAGGGAGGCATTACAAGCTCAGGCTACAATCTAAGCCGAGGCACAGAAATTCAGATTTTTGGGGACCATAAAGTTGTCCAGTTTGGCTGGAACTGGGAGCAGAGAATATGGAGTACAATAAGATAAGGCTGGGAAAATAAAGCAATGCTAAATGTGGTAGCCCTTGAATGCCAGGCAAATAAGTCTGAACTTTACTCAGTAGGCACTAGGGAGTTACTAAAGATTTTTGGAGCAGAGGAGAGACATGGCCAGATTATTAATTAAAAAGAAAAAGATTACTCTGGAGATAAAATGAAGAATTGATTAGGTAAAGTGGGGTTGAAGACCTTAAAGGAGACTATTGCAATAGTCCAGGCAGGTGGACTATATTAGAGGTGTCATGATGTAGTGGTCAGAACTTTGAATTAGGAGTCAGAATGGTCAAATTCTGCTTTATTAATTACATAACCCTGGGCAATTCCTTTAACCTGTAGTGCCTATCTTGCGGATAGGATAAAATAGGCTAAAGTAAAATAAAAAAGGATAAAATAAGGTATTACATAAGTGATAGTTATTATTAAGGTGGTATTAGTTAGGACAGAGAGAAAGGTATGGCCATAGAGGTTATTTCAGAGAGGTATTTTGACAGGAATTGGTGATATGTGTAAGAGGTATGAGGGAGAGGGAAGGGTCAAATAAAATCCTATGGGAAGTGACACGAGCAACGTAGGTGAGTATTGTGTCTATGAAAGTAAAGGATGAGAGGGCCTCTATTGATTATGAAAATGAAGTTATAGATAAAGTACTATGTGAGATCTATAGGACACAGGCTATTTCCAGCTGAGAAAAATCAGAGAAAGTTTCAAACGGTACCAAGCAAACCAATCCACCAAGAAGGGGTCAGCTAGTCTTTTGCTATTGTGTGCACAGGAGTGAACTCTGTCTGCAAAAGATGGTCAGGTGTCAGTTAGCAAAGGACAAACAAGTTGGGGCTGTGAGCTACCCTCCCCAGTGATTCTCTCCACACCAGTTTCTCCCTGGTCTCTATAGAAATAATTAGAAAGATTGTGTGGCCAGCGTTCAGCCATGCCTATAGCAGGTTTATGGTGACTATGATAGTTGAGCTATCTTATGAGCAAAGTGTCAGTTATAAATACCTAGGACTGTAGTGAATAAGACTACTTGTTCCAGGAACATATCAGTACATTTAGAATTTCAAAGGGAGTTCTTGGTGGAAGCAGCTGCCTTGGTGTGCCTAGACCTAAGTGGTCTTTTTTCTGTATTTCTTGCTTTGATTTGGACCAACTCAGGCCTCTTGCAGTTATTCCTCTGACCATTTGAGTGCAGAACCTTATAAGAGGACATGTTGTCCCAGAACACACTCTTTCTGCAATAGAAAGTAAGGGACAGGACTATGAACAAACAGTATTAGCTCTAGTATCTAATGTGCAATTTGGACCATCCAGCTGGGAGACTGAGGCAGAATA